ATATATATATATATATATATATATATATATATATATATATATATATAGTATCTCTCTATATATAGAGAGATATAGCTATATATATATTTTTTTAATCCTCTGTTGCTAGGTTGCAGAGCTGATAAACCCGTGTTATCAATCATCACATGAGGAACTGCATGCCGAAGCTTAATTAAAGTTTATTCACGGAAGTCAACATTAGTCACTGTTGAGGTTTTACCATCGTATTACTCATAATGAGCTCAGCTGGATATCAGAGGTATTATTAGGAAGCCTCCCACCTGTGGCTCAGAATAAAGCCGGCAGATGATGCAGAGACATTCCAGAGGATGCTGCTGAGAAGGAAACTTCTCAGGAAGGAACTTGGAACAGTTTTTTATTTTCCAGGAAGTAAACACAACCAAGTTTGTCAATTTCAGGCTGCATCTCTTTAAATCAGTTGGGGTTTCTGATTGACAGCTGTGGAAATCTGTAATAAGGGTTACAGCTGTAACCTTTTGAGTTCGTAGCTTATAGCTGGAAACACGAACCTTGCAACACATAGTGAAGATATCTGGTTCATGGTGAATGTAGCAAGAAACGTGAAAGCACTAATGTTAAATGTAATACTTGTACTTTATAAAATAATGAATAAAACCAAAACTCCCTCAATTTTGAACCCAAAAATGTCGACTCAGTGTTTTCATTGAGGTGATAACAGCCACCCACAGTCATCTTTTTTTTCTGTATTTTTTCAGAGATGGGAACTAATAGAGCCACTGATCCGACAGCAGGACTTCTGCCTGGCCATTTCAGCCTTCACAGCAGGGTCAAAAGTCAAGCTGGAGACCTGCAATAATAAAGAGCCCAGACAGGTAAGAAGAAATAGTGTTCGCCTTTCAAAAAACAGTACATTTAAGTGGATTTTTTTTACATTTTTTAAGTTCCACAACTCATTTAAAGAAAGCCTTAAAGTGTAATTTCATTTCTTTAAAAGAAACAAGGTGTTCTGTGGAGTTATTGTGTTAACTAAGGGTTAACAAAAGAGACGGGAATCCGCTTTAATCTTACACTGTCAGTCATTTTAACATAAGGTCTCGGTTTTTCCAAATGGCTATCTCATGTTGGAGTCAAGCGGTTCATTTGTCCTTGATGTACCACTCGCAGCGTTGAGCTCTGACATGAGAGATGTGGAGATGAGAGGCGGCTCCAGGCACAGATGCAAAGCTGCCCGCCTGCTGGTGACTCCATAACTTCAGACCCCACCCTGTCCCTTCCTAGTTCTCATCTTTGTGAATGTCGAACACGTCGTCCCATGTGGACCCGCATTGGCTGTACGTTTGAGTTATGACATCAAAGAGGGAGTTGATAAGTCGAACCATGTGTTTGAGTGTGTTTAAATACTTGTGTTTTTGACTCTGCTCTTTGAGTACTGAAGTGATTAACTCTTAAAGCAACAAGTGATGGTGATAACTTTAAAAAGAAATGTGAATCTGTATGATATTAAACCAAACTTAGGTTATTGATGTTTTATTGAAACATTGCGTTTTCAATAAAAAGTTTGGGTTTCACTGGAGAGATTATGCCCAACGCTGGTTCAAACGCTGTCTTAGACGCTTGTCCAACAAGGATAAATATAACAAAATACTTGGCATGAATTAGACATATTTCAAGACACAGAAAATTCTACAATTTGATCAAAAAGTATATTGTCAGCTATATCTGTTTACCGTTGGTTCATGTTGCAAAACATGTGAAGCACTTAATGTGCTAATCATTGTTACTAAACTCTTAACATTTTCATTCTGACATTTCATTTCCTCCCCAAGTCTTTGTTGCACAAACATGCACACACTTAAAGGCACATATATCAGGACATGTTTACAACAGTACATGTTTACAGTATGTGACACACACACGTAAACACATCCTCTGGGACTTTAGGATTAACCTCTCATTCACCTCCACACTTTGAAAAGCCTCCAGATGGTTCCAGAAATCTGCTCTTGGGACTCTCGTTCTCTGCTGTCGCCTGAAGTTCAGCTCTGACTAGTTAATCAGCAAGCTGATGAACAAATCACTTATGCCCGGTGGTTTGTGGACAGCCTGTTTATGGGGCGCTCTTTCTCTCTCTCACTTTACTTCAGTCTCAAGTTACTTGTCGAACTCGCTCCGGCATTTCTACACAAAGTGACTGGACCGTGGGGAGTCTGTGTTGAAACAGAATATTAGGGTTATGAAAAATCAAAGAAAACCAGCCGACATGTTACTGAATGGAAATCATGTTACAATAGAACAAAGCAAGAACAGGAGTTTGAATTCATCGGTGTGACCTGTGAATGGATTGTAGGAAGGTGAAGGGGTGGAAGTGATTTAATGATGACCATAGATAGATATTAGGAGAAAGTACAACAATAAAAGCGAAATACAACACTATTGATTTCCATCTAGGCTGATAATATGAGCCTGTGACTCCTCTGGACTTTAGCATATTCACATCCTGCACTTAAGTAAAAGTAAAAGCAGTTGTACCGCAATATACAGTAATTTGCCAGTTTATTAGGTACACCTTGCTAAAATTATTGCAACAGTCCTGCAGTTAATTCTTCTTTCATGAAGGTTATAATGTTCAGTTTATGTTTGGACCCATTTTAGAGTGCTGTTGATTCAACTTTATGGTCATTTCGGAGGCTGCAGTTTGTGGTGCTGTTGAAATATGTAGCACCATACTGTCTTCAATGTTACGTCCAACCCCTTGACATCAATGAGGGAGAAGTAAATAACAAAAACACAAAGCCGTTACTATGGTTTTACACTCGACGGCTCACGTTACCTCAGTCTTGCAAAGGAAGGAGTGAGCCGAGGGGTATTCAGTGAAATCTACCCTAAACATGTGCTTTTATTGAAAAGTTGAAAGTAAAAATGTACCAGTGTTATTCTATTAAATATTATATTGTTGGATTTGTGTACTGATGTTATTGTGTAAGTAGCACTTTACTGGTGTAACTATTATCTCTAAAACTATAACACTCTTTTTTTTAACTCATATTTGTTGTATCTAAACATCTTTATTTGTAAAGTAACTAAAACTGCTAAAAACTCAATGTAATTTAGTAAAAAGTACAATATTTAGCTTTGGAATGTAGTGGAGTAAAAGTAGAAAGGAGTATTAAATTAAATGGTTCCTTCCACCGCTGCTGGACTCGGTAACAAAAGGCGCACAGAACATTTTATCAGTGAAAACAAATAGTCTGTCTACAGCTGGCTCTCCTGTGATTTTTCCACTCCGTGTCCAACAAGTCAATCATTCATGTGATCTCTGTTATCTGGGTCTGACTCAGTCCATTATGCACTACTAACATGAACCATCATTTATGATCAGGAAATAACACAAACCAGAGGAGGACTTCTGCACTTTCTAAAAAACGAACTGTTTTTTTTCTCCGTGTGTGCAGAAGTGGAAGCCTAAAGGAACCGCTCTGCAGCACATGGTCAGTGGCCTCTGTCTGGACAGCCAGACCCCGACGGGCCCTCTGGTCATCACGCAGTGTCACCCCCAGATGGCCAGCCAGACCTGGGAGCCACAAATAATCACCTGAGCCACGGCGGTCGGGGTGTGGGTCGGGGTGTGGGTCAGGGTGTGGGGGGGTGGGGGAGAGGGAGCAGGTTCTGGACCCGGCCTTGCAGAGGGACTCATGGGGATCACATCTGCACACTGTGTGCTCGCCTCGCTGGGGCGATGAACGGAGTGTAGTGACTGTACATTTGTGATGTCGACGTCAAGCTCCTGCTCACCGGTGACAAGAGTGTCGCTGAAAACATTCGAAAGGCCTTGTCGAGCAAAACATCTGAGGTCTGTTTGTGTACAGTGCTCCATCCTTCAAGGATGCTGCAGTTCTTCTATGTAATCTAAGCTTTTCACTGAAAACTGTTGCACATCTCACGTTTTCATTTCCGTATATATCCTGGTCAGCAGTTTGCTTATATTTGGAGTAGTGAGGCTTGCCTCAACACAGATGAGTGCATCCTTCTGATGCCTGTGTGGACCAGGGCAGCTTTATGTATAGCCAAGTAAGTCTGAGAGCTTTTTTTATTATTATTTCAGAGCGCACCATGCAAAGCACTGTCAGGAACATTATTTATTGTTTTGCATGGTCAGACCCAAAGAATGTTTTTCTTTTTCTGTCTCTCTACAAAGTTTTATGTAAATATTTGAAGCAGGTAATGGTTTGGTTTTTTTGTGTCAAGTACTCTATATGTTGTTTGAAAAATAAAATGTGGTAACAAAAAAATTATTGCTCTAATTATTTGCAAGATAAGTTGGAAAAGACACTTGTTTACAGTCAGAATGTCCTGTAATTCTAATTCACTACAAATATGATTGACAGCAAAATATTTAAAAGTTCATCCACTCAGACATGTATTCAACAAATATTTGAAATATGTAATAAAGACAATTTTGAGTATTTTAGCCGTGTGATTTAAATGCTGGTCGTGTCGATAACCAGAGAGAAATATTTCAACATCTATTTTCTGTGAAATGTGGCACAAACATTGATGACCTCTAGAGGATGAATCTGAATGAATTTGGTTATTTAATTCATGGCAGGATAAGTAAAAACATGTCTGCCTCAGCAGTACTTTGAGATTCATATTAAGACTACTTTAGCGTGCTATTCAACATAGGAAGTGTAGACTGGACTGAATGTGGGCTAAAACGTGCTTTAATTTAACATAGAATATCATCATGCTAACATGTGCAATATTACATCCTAACTGTTAAAAGCAAGCTGGCTTTACTAGACTTACTAGAATTAGTCTGATTAGAGCATGATTACCTCTGCTCAGGTTAAATTTGAGCCGCACCAGAAGTCATCAAAGACCAGAAAGATATAAGAAGAAATAAAGGTGGAAGTTTGACACAGAAGAGTGGTGGATATGTTAATCGGTCATCGCCTGTAACCCACAAAGAAGCTTTTGGAGTAAGAGCTTCATTTTGATTTGCAATTGACTCGAAATATTGACGTTTTATTGCTGCGTTCTTTCCAATACGCCACAAACATGAGTGACGTCTATAATCACAAGTTTATCTACTTTGAGGCACGTATTTGACCTGTTCCAGTGGTGGAAAGTGACTAAGTACTTTTACACAAGAACTGTACTGTTACTCTACTACAATTTAGAGGTACTTAAACTTTGAGTATTTCCATTTTCTGCTACTTTATACTTCACAACATTTCAGAGGGAAATATTGTACTTTCTACTCCACATTCTACATTTATTTGACTGCTTTAGTTACTAGTTACTTTGCAGATTCAGGTTATTTATACAAAATATAATCCACTCATAAATTCATTCATATCATTATAGGTTAAGCTACCCAGCAGGACATAAAGTCGTTACAATTAGATCCACCTTTACCAGCAGCACCATTTATGAACACATGAATGTCTTAATAAATATAATCCAGTTATATAACACATGTTGTTCTGAAATGAGTCATTCTGTATAATTCTGTATAATATTATTAGATAGTATTTTTGGAAGTTAAAGTACATTTTGTTGCAAAAACTTTTGTTCTTCTACTCAAGTAAAATTTTAAATGTAACACTATTTCTACACTGTATTACTGGTACTTTTACTAAAGTGAAAGATCTGAGTACTTCCTCCAAACGATGAAAACAGATTTTCAAATGAGGAATATATGACGTGGACACCTGAGTGGGTGCACCAGAGTTGTGTAGCTGAATGTACATATAGTGACCACAAGGGGGCAGAATAACCTCACAAATATATTAGAGGCTGTCCAGCAATATTTTATGACCATGTCAGGTTGATGAATGAAGGCTTGGTTTTAAAAAAGGAGTCATGAAGAAGATTAGATTTAAGATAATTAAGAATAAAAGGAGGGTGGCGGTAAAAGGACAATAGAGACAATATGTTTGTGGTGTGTGTGTTTGAGAGAGCGATGTTCATAGCTGCAAATAAATACATTGACATGTCACTCATCAGCTTTACAGGCTTGACAACTTTGTTAGTTTGCTTCTCCTCGTTGGTTTTGTAACCTTCCAGGCCACAAAGCATGCCACGCTGCAGCTCAACAGGCTTCGTAGCTATGTGAGGAATGCAAGTTAATGCTGATAAACTTCTGGCCTCTGAAAGGGGCCGAGGTTTCATCATCAGGGGAGGAAAAAGGGGGGGAGGGGGGGGGGGAGGCAAACATGGCAGAAACCTGAGAAAAGACAAAGGACAATGAATGTGAAGAGTCAGAGCACTTTTTAAATATAACATACTGAGTGGCTGGTCTTTAAAAAAACTTTTCCAAGACTTGACAAATGGTGTAAGAGACGATAAGTGGACTCAAACTCATGTAAAACAGGAAGTGGATACTGTGGTTTTATCCAAATGGCCCTTCAAACTCTGTGGTTTTAAAAGTTCCTCCAGCGACTGGACTCATGTTTGCATATCAGCCAGATAGAGAATATAATGAAGACAGACAGGTGCTGGACACTAAATGTTAACAAGTACATTTAGTCACACACTTAATGTTAACATAAACATGACATTCAACGCACTGTTAAGATCTAATAGATGGGAATATTTCCACCACCACTGCTGGAGAATCAGTCTACACTCATTGCATGTATTACATTATCTATGTACTTTAAAATAAGTAAAAACAAGACAGTGACATTGGTCCCATTTTCAAGATAGGGCAACCTGGCCAAACACAACTCAATGTGTTCAATGGTGGAAGTAATACTCAGATCTTATACTTAAATAAAAGTATACTGCACTGTAGAAATGCTCTTGTTACAATTAAAAGTACAAGAGTACTAGCATGAAAATATACTTAAAGTACCTAAAGCAAAAGTACTTATTATGAATGTCTCATTTCAGAATATCACTGGATTATAATTAGTGATGCATTAATGTGTAAGCGTCGCTAATGTTGCAGCTGGTAAATGAGTGTCTAATCTTAACTACTTTATGTACTGCTGGGTATCTCCATCTATATAATATATCAGGATGTATTAGTTGATATACTGTAAATGTTGTGTTAATAATCTGAATCCGCAAAGCAATAGTGATTATTATTGATGGTAAATTGTCAATTAAACGTAGTGCGGTAATAAGTACAATATCAGCTTCCAAAATGTAGTAAAGTACGAGTATAAAGAAAGGTGAAATACCCTAAGTAAAGTAAAAATACCTCAACTATGTACCTGAGTACAGTATACTTGAGTAAATGTAACCTACTTTCCACCACTGACTGCATTGTATTACATCTGTATATGTTCCACTGTGCATGGAGCTAAGATAGAAATGATCCCATAATTTAATTTAAGGAATTCAGTGGAATTGCTCCCACTTTTGAAGATAGGACAGCCTGATAGGAAGAACCGTGATAAGTCGTTTAAGGGAGCATCAAACAGAGTTTTTGTTGGTTTGGACCTATCAGCAGGTCACACTACAATAATCTGAATAATTTCATTTGAAGCACTTGTCTAATCTAGCAGCGGATCTCTTGCCGTGATAAATCTATAGATATGGTTAATATACAGATATTGGTTAAATCTTTGCACTACTGTTTAGTTAGTTAATTTAATATTATTCTATTTCATTGTATATATTGTGCATTTGTATATCTAATATTTTTACTCTGTTATTCTTATTGTATGTATTGTGCATTTGATATTTGAATTTGATATTTCATTTTTTACTCTGTTATTTTATTTACCTGTACCATAATTGCTTTATTTTATATATATGAATTTCATATATATAATATACATATATATATATATATATATATATATATATATATATATA